CAAGGATGGATGCACTCCCCCCATCCCGCTCTCACCAGAGATCATCTAAAAGTGCGACCAATGCTGTTTCTGCCCCATAACCAGGCCTTAGCTTTGGAGAGTTGAACATTAAAGAGAAAATTATGAAAAAGACTGAAGTTCGGTCCAGTTATTCAACAGAAATGCAATTATCCAGAGCAGCTTTGCATCATAAAATGAACAAGAGATTTTTTTATAGAATATCTATTTCCCTCAAATTGTGATCTTCAGCTATCACCTTGACACACTTACATCTAGTTACATAAAATCCTTAGTTTGTTTGTTGCTTTCAAGTAGAGAAAAGTCTTATATCCCCCAACAAGATTTTGAAGCTAGCAATTTAAACCCAAATTTACACTAATTTCTTAAATAACATGAAGCTGTTGCTCCTTCACCGAGTCCCCAAATCTGGGTCCTAAAGCAGCGGCTTATTTTCTTCTCATTAGTTCTGCAGCCATAAATTCAATCTGGGTACTGAACATCTTGTTGATAATATTGACCCATCCAGAAGCGGGCATAGAAAGTTATGCTGCTAATAGTTTCCCTCTGCCTTTTTAAATTACCTTATATATATGATATTCATTTGTATATATTAAAGGGAACTCTGGAGCAGCTAGGTAAATATTTTAGAGAGATCTTTCTCACGTTGTCCAACAAAAGAGAACTATAGAGGTACTGAAGAGAACTGGCCAAAGTTCTAAAGTATACTTGTTATTTAAATCATAAAAATCATACCTCTCCTTTCCATAAAGCGGAGGGCAAGAATTCTACTTTCCTTGATCAAAAGAGCAGTTTTTGTATCTTGTTTTCTATCCAGTAAGTCAGATTTATGTTGATGTCCCCGCTGGTCATTGCTACCACATAGGCCTCATGTTAGGGGAGTGATGGCTTTCAGAGAAAGTAGCTTCATTCAGACTTGGAATGTGGAGACCTATTTAAAAAAAAATCTGCTTGATTTCTCGCAGGTAGCACATGAGAACTGGAGAGCTGTCAGAAAGATTCTTCTTTTTCACCTTTGCAATTTGTATCCCAAGATTTCTCCAAGCAGGTGTTCTCCAGATGGGTGGAACTAGAACTACCATAATGCACAGCCACTGTGGTTATTGGCCATGTTGTTTTGAAGTGAATGAGAGCTGTAACCCTCTACCCATACACCAATCCATAAATGGATATTTCTGAGTTGTACAATTATCCAACACATTTGGGGGGGCCCAGCTGACCCTGGGGAAGACTGTGTTTGAACAGCAGACTCCATTTTTTATTTGGCAAGTTCTTGTTGGGACATTTACGAATTTGAAAAAAAAAAAAAAATCTTGCCATTTTGGTTTTAAGAGAGGACACTCTTGTGTCAATCCAAAAAACCGCTTGAAGATGCAGTTCTTTGGCTGCTGGTCTTAACAATGAAGGCTAAACTGGGACGTGATAGCTTGTGATTCAGTGTTGAATCCATAATGTGGTTTATATGTTTGGGCAAATTCACATGCTTTGGGAATGCAAGAATTCTATGTCGTTAACTTGGGTTGAGGTTTAGCAGTATCATGTGAATTAGATGTACAATGGTCCTTTTCTATAGAAAGGAGACCTTACTCCAGAGGATAGCTTTAGATTCATACCAGTGGTTCTGATGAGCAAGTCTCAACCAACTTAAATTCCATTGGATTCAGCAGACCTAAAGCATGACATACATAAACTGGATCCCAACCCAGTGTAATCAAGATTGCAAAACCTTAAAAGAGTTGTCCACAACAAGAGATAATTCTGCAAACATGTGAATAAGATTGCATTATTAGCATCCCCTTGATGTCTTGCTCATTTTTGTCCCATTGAGGGGACAAGTCCTTCTGAGTCCCTGGGCCTCCCACAATGCTTCTGCTTCTCCATCTGTACTGTGTAAGTAGCAGCTGACTCTTTCTCTCTCGAAAGATGCTATGCCCCAAGATGCTAATTTCAAGTATAGGAAATGAATACCTTGAGCAGCCTTTTCTGGCCAATTATTTGGTCCTACCCAGGTCCATAGCTAACCCCAAAATCTTAAGGGGGCAGCCCCAAAAAATGGGGGGAGGGGACTGCTTGTTTGAGCCAGCCTGGGCCATACCATTTAACCAGAGGAAATTAGGGGGAGGGGAAGGAAATTTAGTGGTGTGGTGTGGTGTGATGGAAGACATGAGCAGGGAAGATTCTGGAATGGAGCTTCAAGGTTGCCGGGAAGGGGAAGAGAGATTCCAGGGAAAGTGTGTGACTTTCCCACACTCAGCCCCCAGCTGGAGTGTGGGAAAGTCAAGAGAAGGAGCCTGGCCCCTCCCTAAGGGCAGCATGGTTATAGTTGCTGTTGTTGGGGATTAGAATTAGTCTGGTGAGATTGATGTCAGGTTCAGCCCAAGAACAACAGCGAGACAGTCCAGAATCAGTTCAGCTCCTTTATTAGCTTACACCCAATAGACAGAACCTCGCCAGACTAGTTCTAATCCCCAACAACAGCAACTATAACCATGCTGCCGTTAGGGAGGGGCCAGTCCCCTTCTCTTGACTTTCCCACACTCCGGCTGGGGGCTGAGAAGATGCTTTCCCTGGAACCTCTCTTCCCCCTCCCAGCAACCTTGAAGCTCCATTCCAGAATCCTCCCCGCTCATGTCTTCCATCACAGATGGTCCTCTACCTCTTCCTATGTTTGTTTCCTGAACCCTTCCTTCTATGGGACACAGCTGAGCTTTTTGTAATCTCGTTACAGGTCCAGCACTTATCATGGCTTGCAAAGGGAGGAACAACTGAGATCCCCGGTTACTTCAGTGATCCTGGTCACCTGAGCCAATTTTAGTCTCTCCTGGGTGTCGGTTTTGACACATTACTGATGATGGTGCAATGAACTTTTCATAGGATTCTTTTTTTTTTCCTTCAGTGCCTTAACAGGAGATTCTTAAGACTTTAGAAACAATGCAAACCATCAAAAATATTTTTGCTTTGCTTGAAAACAAACAAGATGTGGCAAGAAACTAGTCCGTTCAGCAGACCAATATTCATAACAGGCAGAGACAGAAAAGAAAAGACATGAAAAATATTCTTGTAAAAAAAGAAGATGAAGATGAAGAAAAGAAAAAAATATATCAGCAAGTTCAACAGAAGCCATGCTTTGATAGCACTGCACAGAAAATATGGACGACTTTTTGGGGGAAAGAAAGGGTTTTCAAGTCCCTTCTTTCTCTGCTTATTAAAATATTAAGCTGTTCCTAATACACCTCAGAATTCCACTGCTTATCTTCCTGGAACGGTCTGTTCATTGAAATTGGGGATATTGTCACACTATTTTTCTTCCATTTTATGCTTTCCAGTATCAAGGATACTCTTTTTACCATGGCTACTCTAGACCTCAGCGTTTTAAGGAAATGTGCAC